TTTATTATTAGAAAGTCTCTCTTAATATAATGGTTTGTATTTTATAGTCCAATATAATATCAAGACTATAAAATACTGTTTTGTACTACTAATTACAATTTCATTTTCAACATCTGAGTTCAGTTATTATATATTAAGTTTTTATATCTAGTTGAACAAGAAGAATGGCATTGGAAAACAAGAAAAATATGAAAAAGCAATGAACAAAATTAGTTCCAGAAATACCGTGTAAATATAAGGTAAGTACCAACTTAATCAAATTCTTGTTGATCTTGCTTTTATTAGCATCATCAGCATCATTGACCTCGTATTAGACTAATTTGGTAAGTATTTCTGATCAACGGCAATGGATTTTCCCAGTTGTTTGACCAAAGTTAGTATCGTGCTGCCATCACCGTTGATCAATCATAAGTAATTGAGGTCAGTAAAGCATGTCCATAACACGTAACTAAACACATCCATTTGCCCAAATACAGCCGAATATATTTGGGTTTGGAATAATTTGGCTCAAATGTAATAGAACCCAGCAATAGAATTGGATATGGATGCATCCCACCCGTCAGATTTTTTCAATTCCAACAGTTGGGATGATCGAACCGTTTCGTGACGTGTCCCAATAAATTGCCACATCATATGACACATCAGAGGTGCTGATCCAGATAAGAAAGAGAGTACATTCTAAGGGCTTCGCTTGTTTCAGGGCCGTCACGAATCATCACTCTAGAGAAGACACCACTTAGATGTACCAATTTATTTCTATACTTGAGAAGTTTTGTAAGAATTGTATTGTAAGAGTAAAAATTTAAAGAAAATTTTTATAAAGTAGAGATAGAGGAAATTTTTTCTTGAAAAATTTTAAGAAATTTCTTTTGTCTCGTAGACCCAGACCCATAAAAATCTGTATATAATAAAAATATATATAAATTTATTTATGTATATATATTTATTTATTTTGCAAGGTGATTAGTGAATGATAATTAGTATAATAAAAATTAAGTGATAAAATATTTAAAATTATATTGTTTTAATAAAATACTATAAGTAAAGATTAAAACAAACCCATTCTTCATTTAAAAATTAAGATATTTTAATTTTGTTATGATATTTTATTAAAAAAATAAAATTTTAAGATATGTTTTACTTAATTTTTTATAATATAAGTTGATACCTACTTTTTCTTTTCATATATATTATTAATTAATTTTTATTTACCCAATCCAATTGATTTGGCCAAGCCAATCTAAATTACTCAACTCAATTCCTTTTTCTAATCTTCCCTAAACCTAATTCAACAAACCTAATTTAACAAGTCAATTGCCATAAGTGTAGCAATATTTGTTTGTTAGAATTAGACATTATTTAATTGTATATATAATGTATTTATTTGTTTGAATTATTTTAAATTTTTATATTTTTTATTTATTAAAAAAATTAAATTTTGCATATTTAATATTTGACTAGAAATCTACATACCTTTTGTGCTATTCCTTGTGGGTACGGAAATGAAATGAAGGGCCTTTTTTGTCCCCACCAAAAATTTCTATTAAGATCCTCACATCTGCCATTGGTAGGGGTGGGGAGGGGTCTTGCCCCATAGGAACTCGTTCCCATCCCTAATAGATGGTCCTTTTTTTTTCTTTTGTTTTTACTTGGTAAAAACTTACTTTTGTTCTTTACTTTATTAAATTTATAGGTTTTAACTATTTATCTTATATTATGACACTTTTAACCTTTTATCTATTAAAATTTAAAAAAAATAGCACTTATTTTATAATATTTCATTAATTTTGTTAATTGATTATTAATTTTATTAGTTGATTATTAATTCTATTAGTGTCATAATATTTATTATATTATGATACTTTTAACCTCTTATCTATTAGAATTAAAAAAAAATATCACTTATTTTATAATATTTCATTAATTTTGTTAACTGATTATTAATTCTATTAGTTGACTGTTAATTTTATTAGTTGATTGTTAATTCTATTAGTAGTATGTTTTTATCACTTAACAATTAACGACCAATCAACTAATCAGTTAACAAAACTATTTTGTTAACTGATTGTTAACTCTATTAACTAAAAGTAGGTTTATGTCAGCTAATAATCAGTTAATAGTCAACTAATAGAGTTAACAATCAACTAACAGAACTAACAAAATATTATAAGTGAGAGTTATTTTTTTTAATTCTAATAGATAAAAGGCTAAAAGTGTTATAATATAAAGTGAAGAGCTAAAACTTATAAGTCTAATAAGGTAAAAGGTTAATTATAAATCTAATAAAGTAAAAGGTTAAAAATAGACTTTTATCATTCTTACTTTATAGGAATATACCATTTTAGAACGCAAGGCCCTTCCAAATGCATCATTTTGGCTCTTTGTCGTTGCCTTTGGCTTCTTGTTTTTGGAATTCTTCAATCAAGGTTAGTGAAGCTATGGGCGCGTTTGGTTGGGGGAAGTTTTGTCTTTTCACGTTTTAATATTAAAACATATTATGAATTTTTAAGGATCTAAATTAAATATGTAATTATTATATTTTTAACATTAATTAATATTAAAAAATAAAAATTAATTTTTATTTA